CCAATCGAAATTCCTTGACGGGTGGGGTCTGCAATCTGCCCCTTCTGCAGATTAACCATTCAGCAGCAGTAAAATATATCAATAACCATAGCCAGGCTGAATTTAATTAAAAATAATAAGCAGTGCACAAGTTGCCCAAGTCTTGTAATAGATAATGTTTTTATTCTATTTTTATTCTATTTTATATTGTTTTATTGTACTTTAATATTTATTGCTGTTTTATTGTGAACCACCCAGAGTCACTTTTTGTGAGATGGGCAGTATCTAAATTTGAAATATAAACAAATAAATAAATAAATAAACTTACAAGATACTTCCTTAAAACCTGCAAAATGATAAATATTTTTGAAAAAGGACTATTGCTGCTGTTGAGCAGGTTTAGCCCCTTGCCTGTCCATACCAATCAAGCATCTCACAAGGAATACATCTCTGCTGCAATAGGATGCTAATATAGAGTAAGGCTTTTAGATCCATTGTCACTGGTGGATGGTGGCTCTTTATTGGTTTTTATGTTCTACTAGAGAGAATCATCAATCTCTTGGAATGAATGGGCATTCTGTATGGTAGATTGCAAAGCTGTGCCAGCCTTTTATCACATCCCCTTCCCATATGTTTTTTGAAATAATTTAGAACTGTTTCAAAGCATTCTGTGTCAGTTGTATCAACCCAGTTGACAGTACTCAAGAATTATTGATTATCTATATTCTCCTTAATATTGGGTCATTCTTTGCAATGTACATGACTTGGCATGAAATCCTGTACAGCACACCAGGAGTAAGCCCCATTGAACATATTAAAACGTGTTTCTAAATTTTAAATACCTGTTCTTGAACAATTTGAAAATGAGTGTTAAATAAGAGTCCTCAACATTTCTGTAAGGAATCTGTTACGGATTGGTAGTGAAATTATTATGTAATCTTGGAAAGATTTAGAGAATTTAGAAATATTTCATAGCATTTTGAAAAATGAATTTACGATATAATTTAATGTTACCATTTAAATATAAGATTTTTGTCTTTGTGGAAATGTGATTAATATTAAATATTCTTAAAATATTAAAATACTTATTCTCTAAAATGGAATCATTCTCTTTCAGCAATTCAGAATCCAGAAATAGTTGCTTTCCGTGGTGGTCTAAGTACCATTTTGAAAAATGTAATAGATTGTCAATTAAGCCGTATAAATGAAGCTCTCATAACGACTGTCTTACATCTTCTTAATCATCCAAATACCCGACAGTATGTGCGAGCTGATGTAGAATTAGAGGTAATTTTAAATATAATTTTATTAATGTATCTATTTGTTCTAACCTTGAATTGCTTATTTACAGATAGTTTTCATTTAACAACCACAGTTGGGACCAGCAACTCTGTTGCTAAGTGACATGGTCATTAAGCAAGATATCACGTGACCATGACAGACTTAAGACCTCACTTCCTATGCAGTTATTAAGCGAGATATCGTGACTGCAACTTACGATTTTACTACTGGCTTCTCCATTGACTCTGCTTGTTGGAAGCCAGCTGTGAGATGCACAAATGGCGATCCCATGACCATGGGATGCTGTGACAGTCATAAATGCCCACCAGCTGCAAAGTGCCCAAATTTCAATGATGTGACGCAAAGATGCTGCAATGGTTGTAGGCGAGGACTGGTCATAAAGTTACTTTTTCAGCACTGTTGTAATTTCAAACGGTCGCTAAACAGGGCAATCCTTAAGCAAGGACTGCCTGCGTATCACACAGTTTTGGAGCTCTGGCATTTGATAGCAGAACATAATCTATTAACATTGAAATTTGATACTTGCATATGTACAGTACTGTGCAAAAGTTTTAGGCAGGTGTGAAAAAATGCTGTAAAGTAAGAATG